TTAAGGTACACTCGGGTATTTAACCTCTCATTTTGTGCCCTAACTTTTGCCAAGGCCGCCCTTCCGGGTTTTCAACCTTGCGAGCTCTACTTTTCTTTTCTTTTCATTTTTTTTCATTTTTTCTTTTCTTTCTTTTTTTCTTTTTTTTTTTTGTTCTTCTTTTCTTCATTTCTTTTTTGTTCTTTGCATTTTTCTTCTTCTTCTTTTTTTTTGTTCTTTTCCTTTTTTCCTTGCTCTAACTTTTGCCTGGGTCGCCCTTCCGGGTTTTCGACCCAGCGAGCCTCTCAAGGGTAAAAGTGTAGCTTTGTCCATGTCAAATGGTTCTGAGATCTCGAATCCGTCTGAATTCAGGAGAGTTACTGTTGTTCGCTGACAATGCAGGAGTCCATCCCATGGGGGCTGCATTTGCCCCTAGTGTTATGGATAGGAACTCTGTAGTTCTTCAACAATACTTTCTTATTTCTTCTCTTCTGGGGTTTGGCATTCTTGCCGGTCTTCATTGATTTGCTGGACGACCAATCTTCGGCTCTTCGAGCACATCTGGAATTTTTGCCCCTAGTTCCAGGGGTATTTCTGATCTAGCTTTGCAAGCTTCTTTTGGCGACATCTGATCCCCTTGATTTGACTTTTCTTGCCCCTAGTTTGAGGGCTGCTTTAAATATGGCCACACAGGCCTCCTTTGATGGTTGACCATTGACCATTGACCATTCTGAATTTAAGTCCAAGGTTTGAAAACGAAGGGTCAAGTCTAGAGGCTGAGAGCGATCCTAGGCTACATAATCTCAAGAGCGATTCCACATAGGTCTTCGCAGGATCGCGCAAAACATTTCCTTTTTGAAATCTTTTAAGAAAGCGACTAGTCGCTCGTGCTGAAGACAGTGTGAGACCAATCTGGATCAAGCCAGGATCCTTCACAGTACTCACATTAACAAGCATGATCTCAAGCATTAAAGGCTTAGCATGCCTCTCTTTCTCTCAAATGATCAAATTTTGCAAAACCCAAGGAATTCTTTCCTCTTCGTTTTCACCGCAGTGTTTAAAAAGTTTTGAAAAACTTAGGTCAATGCAATGATTTTGGGGTGCAGAAGAGTAGGCAAAAAGTACTACCGTTTCATTCAAACTTTCTGGCACAACTGGCACAAGGCAGAAGCAAGCACAAAAGCATGAAAAACCACTGCTGTTTCATTCATAACTGTTGGTGTAATTGGTTCCATGGCAGAAACAGACTCAAAAGAAAGCGAAAAGACAGACACAAAACAAAATAGTGATGCCCGAGGTAACACCCTCGGAATCACCTGACTCTAACAAAACAGAAAGTGTGGAGGGCTGTTTTTATTTCTACTATTTGGTCCCTATGGTCGTATAGAAATGACTGTTTATTCAATAACACGCAGCCTGATGCAGATGTGTTGTGTGAGCTTATTAAAATTCGAGTGGCCATGTGGCTGAAATCTGTTAATGTGGGGTGTTGCCTCTCCATTCATGAGATTGTGTCAAACATAAAAGAGGTGAGGCACTTTATTTGAGGTTTATAGGAGGCGCTGCTGGTTTCGGTTCAGACAGAACAGAGGTATGGTAGTTGCTGGGACCACTCTTGGGTTATCAGGAGGTCTGAGGGGACGGAGATATGGCTGGTTCATCACAGTAGGCTGCAGGTTGGAAGTTCTTCAACTTGGGTTCTGTATCTTTGTGGCCTGCTCTGTGGGTCAGTGTGATGCTAGTTCAGGGTTGGGGTTAGATCTGGGTTGAGTTTGCTGTGTTTGGTGCTGGGTCTGCTGTGGATTGCTATGCATAGATTGTTGCTGTGAAGTTGCTGTCCAGATTTATCAGAACAGTGAATTGGTCTCAATCTGAGTGCTGCATTTTGCTCTGAATCTGTGTAGTGAGGAATGGAACTTCAAGCCCAAATGATGATTCTCTTTCTGAGCAGGATGGTTCCCTCTTCTGGTGTTTTACCAATAGTGTAGATTGGTGCTTATCTGTCTCCTGTTGTAGTCTGCTTCTTATCTGTCTCCAGTTGCAGTCAAGAGCTATCTTATGGTTTAAGGCTGCTTCAAGTGACTGTCTCTACTCAGGGCAAGAGATGGTGTCGAATTTGCAGAATGTTAGGAAGATGCTAAGCTAGAGGTTGATTTAAGTGTAAGGATTAATCTGCATTTGCAGACTGTCTCAACTCATGCTGCTGTTGTAATCTGCCTTCAAGGTCTAGGTGAGGCTAGCCCAATGGATGGAATGTGCCTTGCTAATATTATGCGGTTGATTTTGGGTTGAGTGGATGCTTGTTTGATGTGGCTATTGGGAGTTCATTTTAGTTGGCTGATATTGATCTGTCTAGGCACAATGGACCTGATCTGATGTAGTATGGAATGCTAAAATGCTGTGGTGTCTGTCTTACTGTGTTTGCTGAACTGATGCTGCAGTGGGCTACTGATAAGAGGAGTAATTTTGGTATGTTTTGGTCTGTTTTGTGCATCTGGGCTACTGATATAGGAGCAATTACTCTGGGTTTTGGTCTGTCCACTTCATTAGTTATTGTTGGTTGGTAGTGTGGGGTGTTGGGTCTGTTTTCAGGTTTGGTTAGTTTCTTGGGTGGATTCAGGTTTGGGTAGTTTCTTGTGGTTGGTTTCTCTCCAACTGGCGATGGTGTGCTAGCATATGATTAGGCGATCTTTTTGGTGCCAACCTAGTTGGGATTGATTAGATTCGCTATGATGCTTGTTGCACTCATCCTCCTCTATCTTTTATTGTTGTAATAGTTTTCTGATTCTTCAATAAATTTCCTTTTCTTTGCTGATCAAAAAAATTTGTAGCATTACACTATCAGCAAAATAATTAGAGAAATTACATATAAATGAGAGAAGGAGAAAAAAATTACCAACACATGAGATACAAGTAAGCCCTCTGCTTCCCCAAAACGAAAAAAACCAGATCAAGAACCAATCCCAAATCTCATATCACTTAATACAAGTAACACTTGTGCCCTATATATTTATAATTTTTTTCTATCTCTTGTTGCATGTAATTGCATAATTTTTTTTTTTTTTTTTTTATCTCCCGTCTACATGTAATTGCACCCCATATATTTGCTTTTTACTATTTCTCACCTACATGTAACTCCCCCATAAATGTTTTCTATCCCTCATTTTCACTACCCTCGCTCTCTCTAAATACTTTCTATCCCTTATTTTCACAACCCCTCTCTCTCTCTCTCTCTCTCTCTCTCTCTCTCTGTATGTGAAGAAACCTTTCCCTGCACTCTCTCTCCCTTCATTTACACAATCCCTCTCTATCTCTCTCACTCTCTTTCAAGAAACCCTTAGCCTTCACGTCTTTCCTCGATTCGCAACACCACCCCTGAAGACTGGAAATTGTGGTTCACAAGAAAAGCTTATGGTGAGTTCCTTCATATTTTTTATTTTATTTTTTTGTAGCCATGGTTATGACTTACATATATTTAACTAAAGGGCCTATCTTAGATCTATATCCTCTTTTTGGTTTAGCTTTGCTATTCTTTTATTTTTCTTCAATCATGACCGAGATTTACATGGTTTTTTTGTTTATATTTTTGTGGCTGTGAATTTAACAATTTTCTGTTGGTTTGTATTTTTGTTCTCTGTTTTATATTTATTAATTTAAAAAAAAAATTGGCCAAAAGTTCTTTTTAACGATTTTTATTTTTATTTTTAAAATCTTTTTCTAAAAGAATAAATTACAAATACACCCCTAAAGTTTGATTAAAATACGAATCGTCTTCTGTAGTTCTGGAAATTACATTTCACCTCTGAGATTTTTAATTTCATAACAAATCACTCTTTTTATTAATAAATCATCAAGTCAATTAATAATTTTTAATGATGTTAGAAATATATTTTAATTAATAATTTAAGTAATTTTGTTATTGTATAGGAGAGCATCTATGAATTTTATTTTTTTAATTAATTCTGTTAAATAAATTTTTTTAAAAAGGAATATTTGTAATTTTCCATATCATAGGAGCAATTTGTACTTTAAGTAAATTGCAGAAGTATATTTGTAATTTACCCTTTCTAAAATTGTTCATTTTTTAAAGAAATATAATTTAATTTTTTTATTTATTTATTGGAGCTCAATTTAATAAGTCAAACTATATTTCAATTCAACAAAAACTCATTTGAAATCAACTTAAAAGTTTAAAGAACCAAGTTTAAACAAATTTTAAAATTCATTAAAAATTTTAAACCAAAATAAAATAGTTAATTGTTCGTTTGGCTCATTTATTGCCCCTACTCTATCAATAGACTAACTATTCTTGACAAACAAATCAATAAGGGCAAATTCTACTAACAGTCCTTGTAGTTTGGAGTTTATATCAGTTTGATTCATGATTTTTTAATTGTGATATATCTGACCTTAAATTTTGAATCTTGTTCCAAATAAGGACAATCAAATATGTTTCCTTTACAAACAATTTATTTCAAGGGCAAAGTCGTTCTACAACTTATTTTGTATTGGTTAACTACAACTAATTTTATATTGGTCAACTTGTATATTATTTGAAATTTAATAGCCTTTTTTTAGTGATTAAAATTGGAACTTTCTTGGTTATAAAGGTTTATTTGGTTTGATTTTTCAAAATCTATTTTAAATTTTTTTTCTAAGAAATTAAAAATTAAATTGGTGAACAAAATTAAAAATACATCATTTTTATATAATTTTATCTTTTGAGAGGGTAAAAATAATTTTTAAAAATAATTATTTTGATATTTATTTTCGATAAATTAGTTTCTTTTTTTTTAAAAAAAAATTAAGCATGGTTATAATTTTAATGTCATTATTAAACCAAACCATTAAATCAAAAAATTAAAAATTAAAAATATTTCATATGTTAAGTATATCGATTACACATTAAAAACCTAATAATCGTCCATTGCATGATAACCATCAAAAAATATCTATTAATAATAACGACAAATTACACTGGTGATTCATATATTTTTTCCCTTTTGGTCTGTATACTTTTCATTGACTCAATTTTGACTCTTAATTTTAGATTTTGTATCAGTTTGATCCAATTAATAATATCGTTAGTTTCTTTTAAGAAAAAATATTATTAAATTGGTTGAAAGTGACTCATTGAGTTCAGTAAGTTTATAATTTTACCTTTACAAATATGGCACATGATGCTTATGTACATATTGTTTATAAATAAATGCTAAGAATTGTAACTAATTGGATCAAATTGAGATAAAGTCATAAAAATCAAGGTCAAAATCAAGTCAACTGAAATTACAAGGACTAAAATGACACAAAGGCCAAAGTATAGGGACTATCATCATAGTTTGTCTTAATAACAGAAATAACAATTTGTTACATGATAATTATATAAAAATATCAACAAAAAATAATCACCAATTACATGATTATAATTCAAATATATATTAATTAATTTGATAAAAAAATAAAAATATAAAAGATTTATCATTTTTATATAATTTTATCTTTCGTGGATAGAAACAATTTTTAAAAATTTAAAAATAAATTTTTAACATTTATTTTTGTCAAATGAATTTATATTTTATTAAATTAATGATTTTATCCTTAAAATAGAGTAACAATATTTTTAATTATTTTTATTTAAAATAATATTTAAAATTTATAATTAAATATATCATAATTAAGAAAATTAAATATCAAAATGACAAAAATCTTAAACTTACAAATTGGGATTGTAATTCACTCCATCAATAAAGGGAAAGATTCTCTCCGATGCTAAAGAGTAATGCTAGAAATATTAAAATTTTCAAAAATGTTTAAGACTCCCTTTCCCCTCACCCCCTTTGACCCTCTTTTTTTTTTGATTGGTTACTTTTTCTTTTCCTTTTTTTTGTTTTCTTCCTCCTCCAATCACCACCCGCCACGTGTGTGTGGGGGTTGTGGGGGTGGTGATTGGAGGGGGTCTCTATCAATACTTTAAAATTTTTATCAAATATTTTACTAAATATCTCACATGGATAGGTCTCATATAAGTGTGAGGTTCACGTCTATATAAGATATTTAGTAAAACATTAAGTAGAAATTTTGCGACCTCTAACATTTTTCATTTTTCGATCCTAAATGGAGGTACTGTTGGGGTCTCCGAGGCCAGCACGAGTCTTTTGACACTGAAATGTTTTTTTCTTTGATTATGTGCAGATCATTTACTATAATATATATGTGTATATATATATGGGTGGTGCTACATATATCAATTAGTGTATTAATTACTATACTAACACTAGTTATGACATTATTATTGACCCCACTCATTAATTACATTACAAATATCAAAAACCTCTTAAATTATGTCACATCATCAATTGGTACACTAGTTAGTACACCAATTGGTACATATAGCATTATTCTATATATATATATATATATATATTAATTCTTTAAATATAATCATATTTTTTATGATATTTGTTTTATAAAGAATAAATTACACTTACCTCCTTAAGATTTTTGATAATTATAAAGACTTTTTATAGAGTTTTAATAATTACAAAAATCTCTCTTACTTTGGTTAATAATATCAAAATTTTTCTAATCTGTTAAGTTAGTACAAATAATGTTACTTGGGTATAAAAATGGCGAGCAATTATTGAGAACCCCACCCCTACAAAATCCCCACAAATCTGAACCATTCATGATTTGGATATCACATATACATGAGTGGATCGCACACATACATGGAGGGCCAAGATTACATTAGGGGTGTGGGGGTCATCCAAAAAGGGGGTCTCAAATATTTTCCAAAAATGACTATATTATCCTTTAGTTTGAATGTGAAAAGACGAAAATACCTATAAACTAAAAAGTCTTATTCATTATCAATATGGGTAAATTATATTTACATTCCATGAGATTTTATATATATATATATATTATGAAAGACCCATACATGTTTTAGTATTATTTAATAAAACCCTTAAATTTCATGCAATACTAAATAAAACCCTTAAATTGTTAAAACATTATTAAAATATTTAATAAAAAAATTAAATTTCGTTGATAATTTTTTTTAAAAAAAACGATCTCTCTAAAATTAATATTAGATAATATCTTAATAATTTAATATAAGGCTTATTTCACACATAAACAACTTAAAATTTATCATTTTAAGTAAAACATTTATTATTTGAATTTTTTTAAAGTTGAAATAAATGAATTTAGTTTTTAGGAAAATTTTACCAATGGTCCTAACATTTTACCGTTTGTATCATTTTAGTCTCTACACTTTCAATTGACTCAAGTTTAACCTTAATTTTAAATTTTGTTTCAATTTAATCTAATTAATAATATTGTTAGTATTTTAAAAGGAAAATTGTCACTAAATTGGTTGAGGTTAACTAGCTGAGTTGAGTAAGTTTATTATTTTGCCTTAAAAATATGGCAAATGATATTTTTTTATAAAAAAAAAATGTTAAGAGTTGTAATCAATTAGATGAAATTAAGATAATATCATAAATCCATGATCAAATTGTGCTAATTGAAAGTACATGTATTAAAATGACACAAAGAGTAAAGTATAAGGACTATCGTCGTAATTTGTCCTTCATTTTTTTTCTTGGCAATTTGCATTACTTATTTATTCATATGTAAAAAAATTGTTATTTTATCTTTTCCCAATCATATATTATTTTCAAATTTTAATTTTTATCTTTAAGTCATCCAACGTTTAGTCAATGCATATTTAAAAAAATATAAGTTAATATTTCTTACATGATTAAAAAAATTAAGAAATAAATATAGAAGTAAACTCTTGAAATTTCTGACAATTAAACCAAACTCATTTATTGTCAACATTAATTTTAAACTTAAATGTATTAAATTTAATCTACCCTGTTAAATATATATATGAAATTATTATTTATTTTTCTCAATTTTTTCAAATATAAATGTAATTTATTAATTCTCTCTTTTGCCGCGATAAGTTTTTGAATTTTTATAAATGAAAAAGAAAAGAAAAATTTAACTATTAATAAATGTGAGAAATTAATTTTAAGATCTAATTATCCGTATTTAAAATAAAAATTAAACCATAATATCTTTAATTATTTTTATTTAAAATGATGTTCAAAATTTATAATTAAATATGCCATAATTAAAAAAAATTAAAGATCAAAACAACACGAATCATAACCTACATGAATCGCTATTGTAATTCACCCGATCAATGAAGGGAAAGATTCTCTCCAATCCTAAATGGAGGTACTGTTGGGGCCTCCAAGGCCTGCACGACTCTTATTCTGACACTCAAATGTTTTTTTTCTTATGTGTAGATCATTTATTAGGAATGAATAACGGATATATCGATTCGTCTAAACTGACAGAATCAAATGGATTTGCCCCATTTTGGACGGATGCGTGATGATGAATGGACGGTTGCAGATTGATTTTTTTTCAATCAATCTAGTTTTGGACGGATGACGGATTTAAAGTTTCTTTAACCGCAACTGAACCGCCAAACCGCAAGCACTCCTAATAATTTGTAAGACTTTGTATTTTTAATTTATTTATATATTTTGCTTGTGTTTTCAGTTGAAATTTTTTTTAAATATTCTGTTGAAAAAGAGTTTTCAACTTAAATATATTTTTCTGAATTGAAAAAAATAAATGTAATATTTATCTATATTTTTTGATTTTTAAATCTAACTCTAAAAATAATAAATAAAAAAGATGAAATATGCTGGTTGGTTTTTGTTTTCAAAAATAGATATAGATGTAACAATACATAGGCATACCATTTCTACTACTGCTCTGTTTATGGTTTTGGTGGTTTGAATTGTTTTTATATTTTAAGAATCACATATTGTAATACTTTATGTGGATGAGGAATGCTGTGATTGTAATATGTGGATGAAACATGTAGTGATTGTAATATTCTAAACTTTCAAACTTTCTTTCTTTAGATAAAGCATGTAGTGATTATAATACTTTTTTAAGTTATTGGCAATAATATTTTTTATTTTATTTTTTTGAGGAAGTGCACAAGTTGAATTATGTTAAAAATTTATAAAATTTTAAACCGCCAAACCGATTCGCATCTATCCGTCAATTCGCCAATCCGCTCAATCTACATCCGTCGGATTGGTGGATGGATACGGATTGATTTTCTCCAATTTGCCAATCTAGCGGACGGATGGTGGATTGGAGATTCCGTGGCCGTTACCGACCCGCGCCCACCCCTATCATTTATTATTATAATATATATATTTATCAAATTCTTGGTAACATTCCTAAACCTAGTTATACATCTACTTTGGCTACTGATCCTTTTGCTTCATCCAGTCAAGCAGTTACTCCATACCCTCCTAATCCTATTAAATTAGCCCGATCTGATTATGTTAAATCCACCACTACTAATCTCTTTTTCAAAGAACCTTGTCACCTAAAGAGTCATACTGTTCATAATCTGGTTAAATCTTATTTCCGTCCTAGATGGTATTTTATTCCTCTCCATCCAGAAAAAAATAATTACTTTCTATAAAGACATCATATTCAACCATCAATCAATTATGATTAAATCCATTTATGATCGCACTTACACAAATAAAATTGTGTACCATTCACTCTATATTTACAACTTTGTTTCTCTAGTTGATTGGGGTTCTGCTTACCAACTACGAGATTTGTCTGGTCATTCAATTCAATACAGTTACTATGATTACATTGATGCTTGGTTCAAAATCCTCCTGTATCCAAATGAGTCAAACAGTCACTCTTGGTTTAATATAATCAAAATGAGCCAAGTTAATATAATCATATATATATATTAATTAATTCTTTAAATATAATCATATATATATATATTGATGATATTTGTTTTAAAAAGAGTAAATTACACTTACTTCCTTGAGATTTTGACAATTATAAAGACTTTTCATATAATTTTAATAATTATAGAAATTTCTCTTTCTTTTGATAATAATATCAAAATTTTCCTAATTTGTTGAGTTCGTACAAATGATGTTACTTGGATGTAAAAATGACTATATTATCTAGGGGTGGGTAACAGTTTATCCGAACGGCCCAACCCGCATATAAATGGGCGATTTTGCAGACATAATACGGACGGATGCGGTTTAAAATATGACAAATTTGTGGGTTGCGAGCGAGTTGCGGGTTAAACCCACCACCCGCAAAAACTGCCCACACTTTAATTATTATTATTATTATTATTATTTTTTTTATATACCAACTTTGTAACTTTAACAGGATTACCATTATATTCTCTATGACACTAGGATCCTTATTTTTAACTATTTCTCAACTTTCTTAATGCCGTAGAATTATTAAGTCTTAAACTTGATTTCTTATATGATTTTCATTGGTGACTCATCCACTTTTTCCTAATAATATTTTCCTTCTGGTGGTCGATGGAACTTCTAGTTTGATTATTGATTACTGAACTGACAATTCTAATTGAGTACAACCTTTAATGTATCGATATACATTTTTTTCATGGCAAAAATGCTAGTGCAGGGTTTCTTTGTTTTGGATACTTTCATTTAATGCATTGATATTCAATTTTTATTTATAAACTCATCAGAAAATTGTTGTCAAATGATCACAAATATATAAAATGAATCTGATGCCTAAATTCAATGGGAAAAAAAAAACTCAAAAATTAATTTTTGAAGAAAAAAGTGTAAACCGCAAACCACCCGCAATCGCCCGTACATTTGCAAACCCTATCCACACAAACCGCAAATCGCACTGCGGGCGGTTGCGGGTTGACTTTTTTTCCAAACCGAATAGATACAGGCAGGTCAAAATCGAACCGCAAACCATACAAAATCGATCCGTAAACACTCCTAATATTATCCTTTGATTTACACATGAAAAGATGAAGATACCTATAAACTAAAAAAGAAATGTCTGGGACTCCCTTTCTTGGAGGTTCCATGACCCCTAATTTGATCTTGGTCCTTGATATGTGTGTGGGATCCACTCATGTACATGTGGGTCCCACATTATGAGTGGTTGGGATGAAAGTGGGGGTTGTGAGAGTCATGCATGTATACAGGTCTCTATCACAGTTGAAATTAAAAAGTCTTATTCATTGTCAATATGGGTAAATTATATTTACCTTCTTTATGATTATATATATATATAGATATATATATATTATCAAAGAGCCATACATATTTTAGTATTATTTAATAAAATCCTTAAATTTCATTAAATACTAAATAAAACTCTTAAATTGTTAAAACATTATTAAAATATTTAATAAAAAAACTTTAATTTCATTAATAAAATATTTAAAAATAAGCAATCTCTCTAAAATTATTGTTAGATAATATCTTAATAATTTAATATAAGGTTTATTCCACACATAAACCACGTAAAATTTATCATTTTAAGTAAAATATTATTATTTGATTTTTTTAAAGTTGAAATAAATGAATTTATTTTTTGGAAAAATTACACCAGCAACTCCATGCTCTCGATTGTAGCCTTTCACAACCAGCGTTGCTTTGAACTTGTCAATTTCTCAATTTTCATTCAACTTTGTCTTATAAACCCACTTTACACCAATGGTTTTTTTTTCCCCTTCAGGAAGATCAGTTAGCTCCCAAGTCTCATTCTTCTTTATAGCTTGAATCTCTGCATCCATGGCTTTTTTCCATGATAATCAACCCCATGCTCTTGATTGTAGCCTTTCACAACCAGCCTTGCTTTGAACTTGTCAATTTCTCCTTTTCATTCAGCTTCGTCTTATAAATCCACTTTACACCAATGGTTTTTTGCCCTTCATGAAAATCGGTTAGCTTCCAAGTCTCATTCTTCTCTATAGCTTGAATCTCTGCATCCATGGCTTTTTTCCATGATAATCAACCCCATGCTCTTGATTGTAGCCTTTCACAACCAGCCTTGCTTTGAACTTGTCAATTTCTCCTTTTCATTCAGCTTCGTCTTATAAATCCACTTTACACCAATGGTTTTTTGCCCTTCAGGAAAATCGGTTAGCTTCCAAGTCTCATTCTTCTCTATAGCTTAAATCTCTGCATCCACGGCTTTTTTTCACTTTTCTTCTTTCATTGCTTTTGCAAACAATATAGGATCGGAGCCTGCAAATAAAGCAAAATGAGTAGTAGTATTATCATCAGATAATTCATCTCCACCCACATAATCTATCATCTAAGATGGTCTTTTCCTTTGTCGTTGTGGTTCTAAGCTAGATGCTTGATCGTCATTTGGAATTGAAACACTAGCTGAGGAACTTGGTGAAACTGCTCCAAGGGACTGACCAGGAAGCTGCAATTGTGATTCAGATGCTTGACTTTCAAGAAGAGGTTGCAGTGGCTGTTTAATTTCCCCGCTAGCTTCCTCAACATCAATTAAAATTTGTTATTGTTCGGTGCTGCTTCAATCCCATGTGTTTTCTTCATGAAACAGAACATCTCAACTGATGATTATTTTCTTGGTAATGGGATTGTATAACTTGTATGCCTTGGATTCCTCACTAACCCCAATAAAGACACATTTCACACTTTTATCATCAAGCTTTGTTCTCTTTTCATTTGGAACATGTGCATACGCTATACACCTGAAGATTTTGAAGTAATCAACTGATGGCCTGACTTCACTCCAAGCTTCTTGTGGTGTTATGTTTTTTACTGTAAGGGTAGGGCTTCAATTGAGTACATGAACACTCTAATTGACTGCTTCTAGCCAGAAAGTCTTCGGAATATTTTTTTTTTCACCAACATGCTATGCACCATGTTCATAATCGTCTGATTCTTTCTTTTTGCCACGCTGTTTTGTTGCGGTGTGTATGCAGTAGTAAGTTGCCTTCGTATTCCATGCAATTCGCAAAAACTTGCAAAGTTATGTGAGTTAAATTCACCACCATGATCTGTGCGAAGGATCTGAATGTACTTGCCACATTCTTTTTCAACTTGAGCCTTAAAGCTTTTAAAAACACTAAAAGCTTCAGATTTCTCTTGCAAGAAATAAATCCATGTTTTTCGACTATAATCATCAATGAAGGTAATGAAGTACCTTTTATTTTCATTCGATGTTGGATTGATTGGTCCACAAATGTCTGGATGAACCAACTGTAGGATTTGCTCAGTTCTCCATGCTTTTCCTTGCGGGAAAGAATCACGATGTTGTTTACCAACGATACAATCTTCACACATTTCTGTGGGACAATTAATCTTAGGCAGTCCTTCCACCATGTTCTTCTCATGTAGGGTTTTCAAGCCTTTGAAACTCAAATGACCATAACGAAGATGCCACAGCTATGTTGGATCTTGCATTTCTGGGCATCATACTGAATGTGCAGAGGGAACATGTGATTGGCTGTCATTTTTGCTTCTACTATTAGGCCCTTCTCTAGATGATGAATTTGACACCGGCTTTGTTGAATAATGATGATATAACCCCTATCTTATAATTGGCCCGTACTGATGAGATTGCTTTTCAAATCTGGGATATAAAACACACTAGAAATTGTCTGCTCAGTGTTGTTTTTCATATGGAATTTGATATCCCCTTTCTCCATGGTAGAAATGTAGGAGTTGTTCCCAAGCTTCACAGTTTCTCTGAATGTTTTATCCAAATCATAAAACAAAGACTTGTTTCCACACATGTGATTGCTGCAACCCGAATCTAAATACCAATTATCACCTGATGAATTCTCCTTCTTGTCAATGAAAGCCATCAAGAGCATTTCTTTTTCAGTCTCAGCAAAATTTACCTTGGTTTCCTTCTCTTTGTCAGGGAATTCATACTAATAGTGGCCAAGCTTGTGACAATAATAACATTCCACACTTACATTGTCAAATTGTGCTCCTTGATTGTAAAAAAGTTAGCGTCCTCTACCTCTGCCTCTTCCTTGAAATCCCCTACGTCCTTTACCTCTTCCTGGAGAGGTAGTTCCTTCATGAGTAGTGATCTTCAAGGTTTGCTCCTCCACAACATGGCTTGTCATCCTTTGCTCATGAACTAATAGTGAGCTTTGCAACACATCAATCGAAAGACTATCAATGTCATTCGATTCTTCAATGTAACACACCACATAGTCAAATTTGAGTGTCATTGAGAGAATGATTTTCTCAATGACTGTAATGTCACGCCCCATTTTTTATTACTCGGAAGTATTACCAAATTCATTACTTAATTCTATTTCAGAGATAACATGCGGAAATAAACTCTTTAGTCCAATGAGTAAAAATAAATAACCATTCTCTCATCTGAATGCAAATTAAATACAACATGAGCATACTGAATAAAATGCCCGAAGGCTTACATCATTAAAGAATCAAGAAGAAGGGTGTAACCCTTTTACATATATGGCATTCCGCCAACACGAAAGAGGCCCCGTGGCCAACAAATAAGAAGATCCAAATCTTGTAGCACATCCTGCTTATTACTTGAAAAAGATTCAACAACGTGGGATGAACATATAGTCCAGTAGGGATCTCAACCTGGCCCTCAACAATAACAACTTATAGATAGCTATGATCATGAAAGCTCTATCTCATACTAGAATAGTAATGTGACAGTTTATACAAAATATACATAAGTATGTACTTTTCTTGAAAATAGCCATTTTATTCAACGCTATTAGCGATTCATCTTTCTTTTCATTACCCCTTGTTCCCAAACTTTCATAAACAATAACAACTTATAAACAATTCCACTAAGCCGATTATTTTTCTCCCATTTTCCATACTTATAACAGATTTTTCCTTTTTTCAAAACACACTATCAAATACCCAATTTTCCTTCACACTCTCTCAAAATCTCATAATGGCATTTTGGTTTATTCCCAACACATTCATATCTATACATGCATGCCTTTAATAGAAAGGAGATAACAAATCATCAACATGTATATAATCAACAAATGAGACAACTCGGCCCTCCAAAACTATTACCATCGCAATTCATGATATACTCAGATATACTGAGACAATAACAATAAAACTCTGTTCTACCAACTAAGTCAGTTCTCCAGGCGCTAGCTGGAAGGTAACGGTACCTTTGATTATAAGCGCAGTCAGTTCTCCAGGCGCTAATTGAAAGGTAACGATACCTTTGATTATAAGCGCAACATATAATACTAATAATCACAATACAACAGAGCATAACTAACAAGTGTAATATATACACATGAACTATCAAGGTACATAAGCAAAGTGTTAAAGTATATGAACACATAGGTGTGTGTGGAGTACATCCCCTATCTTCTCCCACACACTGGAGTACATCACCTATCTCCTCCTTAACAATTATACACATATGATGTATCATGGCACTTCATCACATACAGTATTCAATCAATGTAACGCCCTCAAAATATACCCATTATATGTATATCATCGACATGCATTATTTAAAGAAAACAATTTATTAATTCATTCATCAGAGTATTACTAAATAAAAACATTACATGTAACATCAAATTAAATGCCCTATGGGCTTACATCTTTCCAAGCCAACACTTGGACACAAAATATGAGTTCTAACTCAAATACAAATAAAGCCCTAGGCTTGATTATTTATCAAATAAAAACAAACAACTAAAAATAGTCTTCAAAATCCAAATCCTTCCAAGCTAAGTCCTGGGAGGTAGCTTATCACCTGGACCTGAAAATGATGTTCCCATAAAGGGTGAGCCACAGCCCAGTAGAAATATACTAAACCAAATATAAGCATTGAATAAAGCAATAGCATTCAATAGATGGTTAACCAAGATAATCAATTACATCATTACACAGTCTCATGACACTAATGTCTAAAACACGTTTTACTTTCCAACATTATCAATATGGCTCAGAACCTGGCCAAACTTACAATAGTGAATTATATATATATCATATTCACATTCTTCCAATGTCAACAAACAAAGTGGAGTACATCCCCTATCTCCTCCCACACAAAACAATGTATGCAAACACATATCATATACATCACACAATCAATACACATAATGTCTGTTTCAATTCAGCAGTCAAAATTGATGACTTAATCAATGTTTAGTTTCAGTTATTTCTATTCCACATGCAGTGTCTACAACAAGCACGACTATCCTCCACCGATAGCCCAACACAGTTATTTCTAGACTTGGAAACAAATATACCAACAATTCACTACGTGAGTGATATAAATTATCCAACTACACCATTTAATCAATAAATTCCTCAATTTCATGAATTAAACCAATTTCCCAAATCCCTTAAATTAATTATACAAATTAATTAATTAATACAACTAGGGTTTTTCCCTAAATTATCAAAGTAACCCCAACATATCAATATACCAAAACTTAGAACAAAACTTATAAAATGGAGTAGGAAATCCCTACCTCGAAGAAGAACAACCCAAATCTAAAAAATTGAGGGTCCAAAATAATTGATGGGGTGCTAATTAGGAACTAGGGAAAATATCAAATAAGTCATACATTTCCCATGAAATTTCCATTTGAGTCTTCGATGCAAGACAAGTAGGGACAACGCTAGGTTTTGAAAACATAGGTTATTTGATGGCCTAAATAGTGAGTACTTTAGGGTTTTAAGGGTTAAATTGAAGGCTAATAGGTAGAGGAAGGGATTAGGGTTGATTTGAGGGTGAGAAAAAGAAGAAGATAGGTCTAGGCATCGCACCTAGATTCCATACGCATCATACCTAGAGTTTGATTGCATCGCACAATCCATAACTTCGAGCGAAGACTTGGTCGCTCGAGCGACCAGACACAAGAAATCCTCGCTCGAGCAAAGAAAAGCTTGCTCGAGCCAAGAATGCAATGCTACAGGTCCATACTGGACGCCATCTCTCGCTCGAGCGAAGAACCAAAAACAACAGCTCGCTCGAGCGACCAACTCCTCGCTCGAGCGAAGAACCAAAAATCTGGATAGCAACACTTGGTTTCTAAACCCAACCAACCTGAAACAAACCTGCCCAACACATCCTATAACTCCAAATAAGAAAATAAGAGACAACAACAACAATTATACAATGACAGAATCTACGGAACCTAAGTCCGGATACAATAATCAAATGGGAAAAGACCGGGGTCGCTATAATCAACGCCGGTGTAATGCAAACACAACAATCCAATACAACAATTTCATCCTCCACCGATGACCAAGGACAAAACCTCTAGATGCATGAATTCAGTACACCTATTAGAAGACTTAACTATCATGAGATCTTAACCCAACAACAATGCTAGCACGATAGGTAAAGGTGAAACCCCAAATGTGGGTATTCAACACTCAATGACAGAATAGTTCAATTTCCATATTCATTTTTCGAGACTTACATAGAGTTAACGTTTCATTATCCATTTTCAAGGTCAACTTTCATAAACTTTCCAAATCAACATGTTACACCACTTATTTCCAAAAACACTTTTCCCATTCACAAAACCAATTCCATTCTTTTTTTATTTTGCAAAATCAATTCCATGGATAATAAAAGCCATAATCCAACTCGGTTCAATACATTCACTTGAAAACAACCCCAAAGCCATAGTTAATCCTATAGGCTTTAATACCTTCACCCAACTCATATTAACAATAGTAATTTACAATTATTGTTCAACTACCCTCCATTTTAATTTACCAAATCAAAACATAATTTAGGGCTTTTTCTTTTTTCCACAATAACATGCTAATTTACACTCCAATTAGCCCAAAGAACTATCAATGATAAAATAATCATTCTCAAACAACCAACCCTAGGTTCCCTCACATGGTTTTCAAAGAAATTCAACATGATATGATTTTCAAGTAATACAAAGCTACCACATGTCTATCTATAGACAGAGTATTGAAAAGGAACAAGGAGAATCCCTACCTCAAATGGAGAACCCAAGGGGAAGAAGAGCCAAACTCAGAAGTACTCCAATCCCAAAGTTTTTCGGATCAAAACGAAGCCCACGTAACCCTCTATCTTTCTTACAAAGAGATTAGGGTAGGAACACCCAAGAACTAGATCAATCCCTAGAGAGAAGGTGAGTGTAGAGAGAGAGTGTCGAATCTAGGGTTTTAAGACAAAAAAGGAAATCAAAAAGTGAAGAAGAAGCTGCTGCTGCGAACTGATATATACGTTCCTCGCTCGAGAGAAGGAGTGGTCGCTCGAGCGACTAGTCACAATGAAACCTCGCTCATGTGCACAAAGCCTCGCTCGAGCGAACAACACGAAGCTTCAGGTCTACAACCCAGAAGCACGCTCGAGCGAAGAAACTCTCGCTCGAGCGAAGAAGCCTAAAACATATAGCTCGCTCAAGCCAAGGTTGCGTCTGAACAAAACCTGAAGACACGAAAAGCCTGCTCGAGCGTACAAACTCTCGCTCGAGTGAAGAAGCAACAACATAAGGCTCGCTCAAACGACAAAGTCCTGGCTCGAGCGAAGAGGCTAAAAACTGGACAGCAACCATATGCTTCCAATCACAACCAACCTGAAACGAACCTGCCCAAAACATCCTATAACTCAAATACAAAGTATTGAAGGACGGAACAAGCTAAATACAACAACCCACATCTACGGAACCAAGTCCGGAATACAATACTAAATGGAGGGAAAATCGAGATCGCTATAGCAACATCTTCCAAATTTTCTCCATGAATGGGCATCTTGTTTGCAATTGATAGTGTTCCTACAAAGTAATCATTAACCGACTCTCCTTCCTTCATGTGAAGAATTTCAAATTCTTTGCGAAGAGCTTGGAGTTGTGCATGTTTCACTTGTGCAGTGCCTTGGTACTTCTTCTTTATCGAATCCCAGACGTCTTTAGTAGTGTCCTTTAGGATGGTTTTGAGAATGGCACGATCTATTTCTTGAAACAAATAATTTTTTTTTTCTTCAATCTCTGATCCTCCAACATCTTTCTCTGCGCTTCTGTCAAAACAGTGTCAGGTTTCCACGAAAGTCCAGTTCTTCTTGGATCGCAGAAAAATTTCTGTCAACATACTCCAATGGTCATAGTGACCATTGAAGCATGGAATCGCAGGTTGCACAAAGCTATTTTCAGAAGCCATTGAATATCTTGCTGCGGCAAGAATGAAAGCTGTTGCTTTTTCGAATCAAGCCCCAGTGGGGGGGCTCTGATACCAACTGTTGAAAAACTAAAAC